AGGGACTGGTTCGTGGATTTTCAAGAAGGAGAATATGGAGTCATCCACACAGCGGATAACAACTCTCTTACCTCATATGGCATTGGTTAAATACGATTAAGGAACCATGATAGAATGATCAGAACATTAACAAANGAATGATCAGAACATTAACAGATGTTCGATATGTACCGGATTTGAAGAAGAATCTCATCTCTGTGGAAGCCCTAGAATCAAAAGGGTTCAAAATCATTGCAGAAAATGAAGTAATGAGAGTATGCTCCGGTGCACTAGTGTTAATGAAGGCAAATCGGAAGAACAGTAATATGTACCACTATCGTGGCAATACAGTTATTGGGACAGTGACAGTGACATCTAGTGACGACTAAGAGGCAGAAACAACCAAGCTATGGCACATGCGCTTGGGACATGCTGGAGGAAAATCCTTGAAAACTCTATCAGATCGAGGTTGTTAAATGGAGTAAAGGCTTGCAACTTGGAGTTTTGCAAGTATTGTGTCAAAGAGAAACAGACAAGGGTTAAATTTGGTACAGCAATCCATAATACTAAAGGCATTTTGGATTATGTACACTCTGATGTTTGGGGTCCTTTCAAAACACCTTCATCGGGTGGGAAGCACTATTTTGTAACCTTTGTTGATGTTTTTTCCCGAAGAGTGTGGGTGTATACAATGACGAGCAAAGATGAAGTGTTGGGAAATTTTTCTCAAATGGAAAATGATGGTGGAGAATCAAACAGGCAGGAGGATCAAGTGTATTCGCACAGACAATGGAGGTGAATACAAAAAGATCATTTTAATAAGGTCTGTGAAAATGATGGCATCGTCCGACACTTTATTTTCAGACATACACCACAACAGAATGGAGTGGCAGAACGTATGAACCGGACCTTGCTGGAGAAGGTACGGTGTATGTTGTCCAATGCTAGCTTGAGCAAAGAATTTTGAGCTGAGGCAATTACATATGCATGCCACCTCATTAATCGTCTACCATCTGCTGCTATTGACAGCAAGACACCATTTGAAAAATGGTATGGAAAGCCTGCTATAGATTATGACTTTTTGCACGTGTTTGGCTCAACTGCATATTATCATATGACAGAGTCAAAATTGGATCCAAGGGCAAAGAAGGCTATTTTTATGGGGATTACTTCTGGAGTCAAAGGATACTGCTTATGGTATCCTATGACAAAGAAAGTAATATTCAGCAGGGATGTTACCTTTGATGAATCTGCTATGGTAAATAAAGTAACAGGAGATACCAAACAACATGAGGGTGCTTCTAACCAGGTGGAGTTCGAGGGAAAATTTATTTTTCCTACACAAGAAGCAGAGGAGGAAACAAATGAAGATTATCCTCTGGAAGAAGAGACAGTAGAGAGGGAGATTCCAACTCAGGAACCTCAAAACACCTCGAATCAATAGCAACCAGCAGGCCAAAAAGGACAATAACAAAACATGTTCGTCTTATAGAGACGGTTGCTTGTGCCACCTCAATTGTAGCTAATGATGTTCCTACCACTTATAAAGACGCAGTCCAAAGTTCAGAAGAAGATAAGTGGAGGATTGCCATGAATGATGAAATACAGTCCCTTCATCAGAATCATACATGGAAATTGGCCAATCTCCCGAAGGGAAAGAAAGCAATTGGGTGCAAATGGGTATTTGCAAAGAAAGAAGGATTTCCTAACCAAGTAGATGTTCGCTACAAAGCAAGATTGGTGGCCAAAGGGATATGCTCAAAAGGAGGGAATTGATTACAATGAAGTGTTTTCTCCAGTTGTAAAACATTCTCCATTAGAATTATGTTGGCTTTGGTAGCATAGTTGAATTTGGAACAAGTTCAAATGGATGTAAAAACTGCATTTTTACATGGAAACTTGGGGGAGAAAATCTACATGAGTCAGCCAGAAGGATTCAAAGTTGCTGGAAAAGGAAATATGGTTGCAAAAAATCATTGTACGGATTGAAACAATATTCTAGACAATGGTACAAATGATTTGACAAGTTTCTGTTGCGGCAAGGGTACAAGAGAAGCAAATACGATCATTGTGTGTATTTGCGCAAGCGTGAAGATGGTTCCTTTGTATATCTTCTCCTATATGTTGATGATATGTTGATAGCTTCCAAGAATTCGGAAGAAATTGATAAGTTGAAGATTCAACTGAAGAAGGAGTTCGAGATGAAGGATCTGGGTGAGGCAAAGAAAATTCTTGGCATGGAGATAATACGAGATAGACGTTCAAAGAAACTCTGTTTATCTCAAAAGGAATATTTGAAGAGAGTACTACAACATTTTGGCATAGATGAGAATACTAAGCCAGTTAGTACCCCACTTTCTCCCCATTTTAAGCTAAGTACTACTATGTCGCCAAAAGATGAAACTGATCGAGAGTATATGTCAAAGGTACCATACGTAAATGTTGTTGGTAGCTTGATGTATGCAATGGTTTGCACGAGACCTGACATTTCACAAGTTGTTGGAGTTATTAGCAGATATATGCATAATCCAGGAAAGGAGCATTGGCAAGCTGTGAAGTGGATTCTACGGTATATTCATAATACTGTAGATGTCGGGTTAGTTTTTGAGCAGGAAGACAATCAGTCTGTAGTTGGATATTGTGACTCAGATTTTGCGGGTGATCTGGACAAACGAAGATCAACTACTGGTTATGTGTTTACTTTTGCAAAGGCACCAGTTAGTTGGAAGTCTACTTTGCAGTCAACAGTTGCTTTGTCTACAACAGAGGTAGAGTACATGGCTATTACAGAGGTTGTGAAGGAGGCAATTTGGCTTTAGGGGTTGCTAAAAGAGCTTGGCATTAGGCAAAAAAGTATCACAATTTTTTGTGATAGTCAAAGTGCTATTCAATTAGCAAAGAACCAAGTTTATCATGCAAGGACGGAGCACATTGATGTTCGGTATCATTTCGTACGAGAAATCATAGAAGAAGGTGGAGTCACGATGAACAAAATTCATACTACAGACAATCCTGCTGATATGCTGACAAAAGTGGTGACTGCAGTCAAGTTTCAACATTGTTTGGATTTGATCAACATTGTTGAACATTGAAGATTGAAGATGAAGACACAACCAAAATTTTTTATTGAGATAAAATTGAAGATATGGAATTTTGCCAAGGTGGAGATTTGTTGAAGTTGTCAAATATCCCACAGCGGTGGTTGACACTTTTGTTTGGGATTGTTTCCCTATAAAAGGAGGCATAATATTTAGGATTTATACACACCTCTCATTTGCCTTCTTATCTTCTTAAGGCATTTGTATCTTCTCTCTTTAGTATTTTTTCACTTGTATTTTTGGAGTGGAATAAAATATTGGTTGTGTCCGAGGAAGTAGGCAAAATTGGTCGAACCTCGTAAATTCTGGTGTTTCTTTTATTGTTGCTTTATTGTCTTATTTATTAGTTGGTGGCTTTCATAATTTTTGGTATAGTAGTTGTGACTCATTCAAACTATATACATTTGGCTTCCGCAACAGCTTCGCTTCAGCGTCTTGAGAAAGGGGAGCATCGTCTTCCATCAAAGCGAAACTAGGGGGCACAAGATTATTAGTATGTGCAAGCTTATTCTGCTCAAAAGCTGTTGAGTTGTGATTTTTACTTTTGCCAATAAGAGTTCTCTTTTCAATACTTGTTTTTACAGATCCCAAAGATCCAAAGTTATGTTCTCTTCTCCTTGCTAAAGCATCAGGTTGAATATATGCACGATGTACATTCTTTGAAGTTGCTCCCATTTCAGACTTTGATGGATTCATATCAACCTAAAATAAATAAAAGTATGGAGTAACTGTTAGTTGAGAAGAAAAGTCAAAGCAAATAGTAGATCTTTTTTACATACACAGGCACCATTCCAAAATTCCATCTTATTAAGTTTCCTGATATACCAAAACAAACTACTATATGAACCTGAAGTCAAAATCCCAGTTAATATCCAACCATAAATAGTATCACATACTAAAGTAAAGATAATAACTTTACCCATTATTTTTCTTTTACACGATGCATAGCCATTAGCAGAAAACTAACCACATGCATTCAACATTCAATAAGCAGAGAATTTGAATAGTGCAACAACACATTAGCAACATGTCAAAGTTGCTCCATAGGCTATTCCAACTACAGCAAGCTACTTTTAAGGTGGCTTTTTCACCATATTGCCTTCCATCGATCTAACTGCATTATTTTCTAAAACAGGACTGGAGTAGAAAGATTTTTAATTTCATCGAAAATTGACCAATCTCATTATATGGCACAGATTAGCAAAAATCATCAGTACTACATAGAATTAGAGCAAAGATCTAACTTTCGTGATTTACTCTCAAGCAGATGAAAATTGTGAAAAATCTGACCCCAAAATTTTATTTTGAGACGGGATTAGAATATGCAACACGAAAGCATCCTAATAAAATACAGAAAATTTGAATAGTGCAACAACACATTTGTTATTACATGTAATTCCTCGAACACAATAATTGTAACACATTAATACCAACTTCAATACCTCCATTTGCTTATTTTCGCTTTCTATTTTCCCTTGCAAGTCGATGGAAGGGACTACTTTACAATTCAATTCACTCAAAGCAGAAGACAGAGCACATCCAATAGCAAAAATTTACGACAATAAAGCAAAAGGAGAAAACTCAATTGTCACTCACCAGAGAAGGTAAAAAAGGTGGAGCCTCACTGAGTGATGTCTTCTTGTGGAACACATAGAAATTCTTAGCCTGATACTGGAAATCGTTTTTCTATGAATAAATAGAATTAGCAACACAAAAGCTAATAGAAAAAGCTTACCGAGCTTCAGCTGATGAATTTCGACTGTCTATTTGTCATCTAGACCGGATAGAGACCTGATAGCAAGCTACTTTTAAGGTTGCTTTTTCTATATAATAGAAATTGACATTCGAATGCTATCTGGTTTAGGATTTAAATGAGGTGTATTGATAAAACTACTTCTTTGTTTATTGAGTAAAGGGGAAAGATACATGTTTTACAGCCGTTGACATTACATCCTAAGACTAAAGTATGAATTTAATCTGAATTGACAATTCAAAACTACCCATGCTTGTACACCCAAACTCTCATTTCTATTTAAACTGTACGTCTACTATGTTGATGGCGCGACACAAATACATTTAAAATACATGTCACTACAACAAAGAAAAAAATGCTCTGGAAACACAAAAAAGGCCACTAAAAGTTGCCATAATTTGTTAAAAGCAAAATTATTTTTATACTCCTGAGTTAGCAAAAGATAAAATCTACAGAACTATTTTAAGAAACCTCAACTACATCCTTGAGATATGAGGAGCAGACGAATTTAAGCTCAAAATAACACATAGGAGAGGGGAAAAGGCAATTTTCACAACGTACAAGGTGAAGAAACTCGGAATGTAGGCTATATCTCGTATGGTCACTAGCTATTTAAGCTAAGCTTATCTTTATGCTATTATAGCCATATGTATATGTTCGGTCATTGTACATGAATACAATCCAAGAGCTAAATATGATAGAATACAATAAATCTCTCAATTAAATAAACTTGTAAAAGAAATTTGATAGAACCACATTTTCCATCAACTCTTAAGCGAAAAGGAGGTAAATTCTTCCTCTTTTGGCTTGGAAATAGGTCTGGAAGAATCAAAATCAAAGCAAATGAATCACTGACTTTAAGATGAAGAAATTTATAATAGAATCATGAAGAAAGACCTTCGCCTGCAATGGATTCCTTCAAATGAATAACAAGGAGGAATATTTTTCACAGAGAAAGTATATTTCTAAGTGCAATGCATAAGAAATCAAAACAAATTCTAGCTTGTAGAATTCCAATTCCAAAAGAAAAAACAAAAAGGTCGATGGGAGTCTATTATATCATCAGTAATTTTTATTGTTTTTTCAATATCAAGATGTTCAGATTTTCTCAGGTGAGTAATTAAGTCTATAAGAACAAAAAAGGGATAGTGGCAAAGCGGCCATTAATACTACACTGGATTATTCGTGTACTCTTACTGTTCTGCAATTTCAAAGGGATAAGGTAGAACAACCTACCAAACAAAAAAATAAAATCAATAACATGTAACTAACAATCATACCCTATATCTTTAGTGTGTGGAAGATGGTAGCAATCAGATGGTTACTCAAGTCCATAAATTGGCCCCAGAATGCTCAAAGAAAGATAATACTTTCTTCTAAAAGAGTCCTTGCTCGCCCCTAGAGATTTCACTATTGTACCCCAAATAGGAGGAGGACAACAGAATACTCCAAAGAAGATGACTTAGACATATCATCAAACACATGAGTGCAAAGTTCACTTCAAAATTACAATCACTTTTGATACCTTAAGAAAAAATTCATCAAAGTGACAATGAGTGTGTAAATCGGGTACAATTATTAATGTAAATCAGGTACAATTACTAACATGCACCAAAATTTAGCTAAAAATACATTCAAAACAACTGTTGATAGCAATAAAGCAAGACCATGGAAACGCAAGCAATGCTCACCGGAGTTGTCCAGAATCTTGGAGGTGCGACCTACAAGCTTAGACCAATTTCTAAAAAACAACATGCAACAAATTCTTTTCATTTCAGAGAGAAAAGTAACAAAGAATATATGAAGATGTAGGTGAGATAGAGGAAGGCAAAGAAACAGAAACTATAAAGTTAGAATGAAGACATGTCTCTACAGCAATAAGATTCTTCAGAGAATCAACATTAAAATTGCTAGTACAGAATACATACAGAATAAAGCTCTCATTATGCAGTCAACAAGTCAGCGAAAGATCAAAATCCTAAGGAAAACTTTCAGAAAGGGCATACAAACAACACTCATATTACAAGCCAAATATTGAAAATGCATACCAAGTAAAAGTGATGCATAAAAACAAATCAGAAAACTTCTTTTCTCAATTTATTAGCCAAATTTTGACATACTGTAAACGAGTTATGCCTAGAAAAGCAAGAAGCAAGAGGCCGAATGAAATAAATATTAACAGCAACCACTATAAAGGTTAAAAACCTTCATGAGTTCTTTTCCTTTTCATTTGTATAGACTTCTCTAATTCTCCAAATCATCATCTTTTTCTTGCAAAATGTCAAAAGTATCACGAGGCAAAACTTTTCTTACAACATGCCAACCTTTATTTGAAAGATCATCGACATAAAATACTTGTAATGCTTGGTTTGCTAATACAAATGGCTCATTAGTTTTCAATAATCGCTGAGGATTAACACTTACAAAGCCATATACATCCATTTTAACTCCCTTTTCTTGGTCATACACATCAAACCACATACATCTAAATAAGATCACTCTTTTTCCTCCAATAAATTATAATTCAAGAATCTCAGTGAGTTCTCCATAATAATCAATATTTTTATTCTCTTAATCTGTCTCACCAACTACAACCACCCCGCAATTTTGAGTTCTCAAACCCCTGTCATAGTCTTCCACATGAAACCTATATCCATTAATAATGTAACCTTTGAGATATTTCACATACGGCAGGGGACCACGTGACAAAGTGAGCAATTCTTCCATTTTCTTACTGTTATCACATTTGTACAATTCTACAACCTATCAAAATCAATTATATAATTTAATTAGCAAATACTATATAAAAAATTATGTTTTAAAAAATAGCAATAGTATATATCTAGTACTAACCTTTTCTTTAACCAATTAATGAACTTCCTATCTGAATGTTTTTGAGAGGTATCACCTGGAATTTCTGAAAACTCTCTGCAAAAAATTAAAGAATAAAATGTCATTTTAATTGAAATCATGGATAAAGTATATATGAATTATTATGTCGAATCAATACTTACTCGAGAAATAGTTGAATTTCATCACAGTTCTTCAAAATATAATATGTACTTGCTCTAATTCATCTGGATTAAGTTTGTCCAATTTTCCATCTCTTAATTCTTTTCTAGGTTGAGAAAAAATTATTAAACCTCTATCAGATTCAATAACACCACCAGCATAATTCCGCTCAAGGCGATCAAACTTTGTTTCCATTGTATGCAAGTACCTTGAACATAGAGTCAAACATTTAGTTGTCAAATATCCCTCCGCGATAGAACCTTCTGGGCAAGCCCTATTGCCAACTAAAGATTTCAAAAAGTATAGCCATCGCTCCACTGGATACATCCATCGATATTGAATAGGTCCAGCAACCATAGCTTCATTAGCTAAATAAATCGGCAAGTGCACCATTAATCAAAAAATGAAGGAGGGAATACCTTTTCTAACTTGCACAGAGTTATAGGAATTTGAGCTGCTATCTGTTCTAACTCATCCATTCTTAAAAATTTTGCTCCAAGCAAGTTAAAAAAATATAGACAACTCGATAAGAGATTGACATATAGATTTGCAAAGCATACCACGTATAGCAAGTGGAAGTAAATGTTGTAGAAGAACATGGCAATCATGATTTTTTAGGCCTGAAATTTTGCGATCTTTAGTGTTGACACACTGAGATATATTTGATGAATATCCATCTGGGACCTTTAAGTTCTTTAGGAATCTGAACAATTTATTTTTCTCTTCCAGAGATAACGTGTAACATGCTGTTGGTAGCTCATACTTATCCCCATTTTTAATTTGATGCAATTCTTTCCTTATGTTCATTACTTGCAAATCCAATCGAGCTTTTAAGGTATCTTTGGTTTTTCCTTCGACATTTAAGATTATCCCCAAAATATTGTCACATACATTTTTCTCAATATGCATCACATCTAAATTATGTCGCAACAATAGAGTTTTCCAATAGGGAAGATCAAAGAAAATACTCTTCTTATTCCAATTATCACCCCTACTCTCATGATATTTTAATCTTTTTCTTTGGATCCTTTGTTAGTTGTAAACCATCCAAATCAGCCACTTGATCTAGTATATCCTCACCGGATAAAATTTCGGGTGGTAGTCTTCGCTCCTTAGTGCCATCAAATGACTCTTTATCATTCCTCCATTTGTGATTAAGAGGAAGAAAGCACCTATGGCCCATATAATACTACGTTTTACCATTTTCTAACCTAATTGAGGATGTTTCTGTATTGCAACATGGGCAAGCCAATTTTTCTTTTGTACTCCATCCAGATAAGTTTGCATAAGCCGGAAAGTCATTAATGGTCCATAGCTGCGTGCAACATAGAGTTCTGTTTAGTTGACGCGTCAAAGGTCTCCACTCCAGTTTCCCATAATTCCTTTAATTCATCCATCAAAGGCTGAAGAAAAACATCAATTGCATCTCCTGGACTTTCATGACCAGGAATAAGCATCGACAAAATAAAATTCTCTTGCTTCATACATAGCCAAGATGGTAAATTATAAGGAATAAGTACAACAGGCCAAATGCTATACAGAGTTCTAGAACTTCCAAATGGTTAAAAACCATCACTAGCAAGTCCAAGTCGAACATTATGAGATTCATCGACGAAAGATTGGTGAAGTTCTTCAAACTTTTTCCATGCCATTGAGTCAGCTCGGTGCCTCATTATTCCATCGTCAACTTTTTTGTCATGATGCCATGTCATTAAAGATGATATCTTTGAGGACACAAACAACCTTTGGAGTCTTGGCTTTAAGGGAAAATAACGTAAAATCTTCTACGCTATCTTTTTTCCCACTCTTAAATTTAGTTTCTCCACTATGTTTATCCTCTTTCCATCTAACATACAATTATTTTCACAAGCATCAATCTTCCAATAAGAAAGTCCAAGATCCCGAATTATCTTATTTGCCTCGTAATATGAATCTGGCAAGTTTGATTCGTCAGGTAATAGATCTTCCTTCAACATCTTCAATAACATTGTAAATGACTCATGACTCCAACGCCCAATACTTTTGATATGAAGCAATTTAACCATAGTAGAAAGTTTAGAAACTATTGAATTTTGGTACAATGGTTGCTCAAAATCCTTTAAAAGCCTATAGAATTTTTTTGCTTGAAGATTTGGTTCCACCTCAAGAAAATCATCACCATCAGTGTTCGTATTGTATGCATCAAAATCAACATATAAATCTCTTAGGATCCTATGTATTTCATCCTCACCATTAGCTTCTTCAATGTCATCATCTTCTACATCTTCTGGAGTTGATTGTGGCTCACCTAACTTTTCCCCATGGTGATAACAAAAAGTATAATTTTGAATTATTCCATGTACTATTAAATGTGACTTAACTATCTCGCACGTTCCCGAAGATGTGTTACAACATTTTATACATGGACAACGTATTACACGCGCTTCACTTAATCTTGTAAAAGCAAAATCCAAAAAGCTCTCCACCCCAAGCTTGTAAGCATTACCACATCGGTCATGGACAAGTTCCATCCATTTCTTATCAAGTGCCATAATCTGGTGCATGTGTAATATATATGTATATATGTTAAAAGAACTTATGGATCATCAATAACTCCTATATTACGGGAAAACTTATCAAAGAATTATATTATATTTAAAACAAAAAACCTCTTAGTAAAACATTATTTATTTTTTTACCCTTTAAAAATTTATTTTACACTAGACATGATTATAATATAATTAATTTTTTAATATTGAGACAACCCACAAACACAATATTTTAAAATATTAAAAATAATTTATATAGTATTTTCTATTAGTTAAAGAATAAGAACAAGTTGCATTTGCTCGCCAGAAGGAAAAAAAAAAGAATCTTGTGAGTTAGCTGACATGTTTTGTCTTCTAGAATGAACTTTAAATACATTTGAACATATAACTCTTCAAGAATTTTTTTCAAAAAAGCTCTTAAATCTTCAAAGGCTATGTGTTCTAACTAAAATTAAAAAGGAAGCATGATAATTTGTAATGTCTAAGCAATAAAATGATTAAACTGAGATACATTTTAAGTTGAATATATTAACCGAGATAAGTGATAACCTTTTGTGAGGTAAAGATTCTTTCTTTATTGAGTTAGTTAAATAGGATCAACATTTGTAATTTTCAGGAGTTTACATTTTCTCCTTAACTTTTATTTCTTAGTCAAACACAATATTTCATATAATATTTATGTACTTTTTCAAATAATTTGTTTTCATTTAGATAGGATTCACGCGCAACGCACATTTCTAAAACTAGTTATACTAAAAGTATGAAGCTCCTAACGTCAAACTTGATTTACCAAAATGCCCATAAAAAATTGAATACCCATTTTATCCTCAATCAAAAATATTGTATACTTTATAACGAAATGCTACCATAATAAATTTATAAGCTACTAAACTTCTTTTCATGTGCAACATATATGAGCATTGAAAATAAAAATAGTAACAGAACTGCGTGGGTAACATTGATTCAAGCAATCTTGAAGGATATATAGTTACTACTTATTTATTGTGATTAGTGATGGTAAGTCATATAAAAAGTAATTTTAAACTCTATATAGTAAGGAAATAAATATATTGACAGGCTCAGAGTCTCTTCTCCTCCTCCATTCTTAGAATTACTACGTTCAATGATGACAATCTCATTTTACAAGTTATCTGAATGTTGGATTGGTCTATATGGAGTGAAGAAAAGCAAGTAATTAGTGAAAGAGACACTACTTGGGAGCAATATGTGCTATGATTTTGGCGTTGATTCATGGCTCATGAAAATGAATCAAACAACAATTCAGAGCATGCAGAGGCTAATCACTAATGATGAGCCACTTTCAGTAGGTAAAACTAAAGATGTTCAGAGGTCAACTGATGAAAAGTAAGTTCTGATCTAGTGTAGTCTAGAATAGAAAAGAATAAAGTTAATAGTTGATATGCTTCGTGAGGAATCTAGATTGTTATTTGCATAAGTAAAGGTGCCATCTAGCTTTAAGTTTTATCCAATTACATGTTCTTCTAGATTCTGGCCAGCTTCCATGTGCTATGTTTGTTATTTTTTATCAAACTCTATTGCTTTTACTAGTAAGAATTCTTATATTTCCACTAAAACTTCAAGGGATACTGAGAAAAAGAAGAAAAAAAAGAACAAGAAAAATCAACATGATGGAAAAGCAGTTACAAAGGTTGAACAAAATAAAAAGAATGAATCACACGAGGTGGAGGAAAATGAAGCGACTAAGTCTTCTCAATTGAGGACCTATGGAAATGGATTGGTCATAGAGGATTTGGCAATGAGCAAGCCGGATGGAAAAAGAACTTTCCCAGGAAGTTAGGTATAGTTTTCTTTTTTTAACTCTATGTGATAAATTGTTCTCTCACTTTGCCATGGAAAGTAATGAAATCTTGGTAGTCACAATTAAGTTGATCAGGATTTAAGTTTCTCAATCTTTGAGTTCTCTTTGATGAACTTGTACGGAGCACACTTATTATTAATAATGATTTTCTACTGCTGAATAGGTTGGTATACGCTATATAGGCAAGCTGAAGACGAATGGAAAAATATTCGATTCCAACATTGGGCAAAGAACACCTTCTGAAACAAATATGATTTTACTCTTTTTTTTCATACAGGCAATGCAGAGCCACATGTAATCAAATAATTCAATTGAATTCGCTACGACGAAAAATTATAATGTGCAAATAGGAGACAAATTTTTGAACATATATAAAAGTTTGAATTATGTGTAAATTCTGAATCCCCTTATAAGAATTACTAGTTGCAACGCGTATAGGACCTCTCTCGCAAACAATAACAGATTAAGAATCTAAAAATTTTACCTATCGTGCATTATAATAAGAAGCATAAATGGCAGAGAAAGCAGAAGATGAGGAAAACAACAACTTTGATGGAAAACAGTTGGTTGTGTGCAATGAAAAATTGCAAGAAATATACTGGAAACAGAACAATTATCATATAAATCTGGAAGGCGTCAACTTGAAAAGCAGAGAGATAACAAAAAGCCCAATTTCACTATAATTACAACTACAAATTTAGTGACTTGAGTTTACCTTGACGAGAAAGCACAGCAAGAAGACCAAATCGTATAAGCTGCATTGACAGAACCTACAAATCAAGTATAAGCACATCAAATAAAAGAACCCAGCTATTAGCGTTGACACCCAACTATTATCGTTGATACAGATTCACCATAAAGCACACAAATTATAAGTTGCATACAACAAGAAAACCAAATTGTTTTGTGATTTTTCGTTGAGTTTTGCTCTATATATATATATAGTGTTAAATCGATCGCTAGAACTCGCCGATGGAGTAGCGGGCAGTTGCAGTGATGGCCTATTTGTTCGTGATTCTTTGCATCCTCTTTGCTGAATCTGGTGTACGTGTTTTGGGATAACATTGGATTGAGAGATTTTGAGGGTTTTTTGATTAATTTGGGGGATATGGGCGGAGTTGTTGAGGAAAAAAAGGAGGAAATAATTACCGCATAAATTTTCATTTTATTCAGATTTATAACGAGGGGATTGCCATAATTTGAAAGACCGAAAATTATTCCCTCGTAAAAAATACAGTAAAAAATGACTTTAATGACCGGAATAAATATTGGCCGCTATAAGCATACATATAACGACTAGATTAATTTCCTTTCATAAAGAATGGTCATTAAAGACCTCTTTTCCTGTAGTGAATTAACTTACAATCGATTTGGAAGAAGAGTTGTTCTTTGAAAATCGCCCAAAGAAGTTTGTGTTTTGAAAAGATGTGAAAAATGGGTTTAAAATCGTCTAAGTATAAAGTTGCAGGTCGTAGGTATGGGAAATGCGAACAGGGGTTCGAAATTGCGAGCACCGACCTCTGATAAGTTGGGAAATGCGAAACAGGGTTGCGAACCCTTCAGAAATGCTAGACTTTCGCATTTGCGAACAAAATGTCGCATTTGCGACACATAGGTCGCTTTTGCGATCACTGGCCAAGTGGGAAACTTCGCATTTGCGAAGATAATCTCGCATTTGCGAGAGGGAACTGGCCTGGGCTTCTTTCGCAATTGCGATAAGCCGCTCGCATTTGCGAGCTAGGCTTCGCAAATGCGAAGCTTGCAGGCCTGCTATGCACAGCTGAAAAACCTGCAATTTTCTGAGTTCAAAATGCACTCCGTGGCCTATCCAAAACTCACCCGAGCCCTCGGGGCTCCAAACCAAATATACACACAACCTCAAAAATATCCCACGGACTTATTCGTGTACTCATATCGCCAAAATAACATCATGGACATTGAATTAAACCTCAAGATCAATGAAATTTCTCAAAACTTCTTTAAATATGAAATTTGCATTTAAGGTCCGAATCACGTCAAACGGATTTCGTTTCTTACCAAACTTCACAGGATTATCTTAAATTATATATAAGACCTGTACCGGGCATCGGAACCAAAATATGGGTCCGATACCAACATGTTCTACTCCAAATTCATTTCCCAAACCTTTAAACAATTTCAAAAAATAATTTTCTTTAAAAAATTCATTTCTCGGGCTTGGGACCTCGGAATTTGATTCCGGGCATACACTCAAGTCTCACATTTTCTTACGGACCCTCTGGGATTATCAAATCACACGTCTGAGTCCGTTTACCCAAAACGTTGACCTAAGTCAAATTAATTCATTTTATAGTCAAAATTTATCATTTTTCATAGATTTTTCACATTTAGGCTTTCCGGCTATGTGCTCGAACTGCGCACGCAAATTGAGGTGATATAAGAGAGGTTTTAAGGCCTTGGAACATAGAATTTTATTTTAAAACAAGTGATGACCTTTTGGTTCATCACAAGTACTCCTAGATAGTCTGTGAAGTTGTGACACCAGTCTTGGGTAGATTTGTTATGGATTGGTATTAGCAGTATTATTCAATCTTTACAATGCAATCTTCCGCTTATTAAATTCTATTGTTATCTAATTGTTGGCTCTAAACTGTTATCGGATTAAAATGGAAACACGGTAAATTGTTTAGTTGGTTGGATTGCCTAGCTTTCACTAATAGGCACCATTACGACTCCCGAGGGTGGGAAATCCAGGTTGTGACAAGTTGGTATCAGAGCTCAAGGTTACATAGGTCTCACAATTCACAGACAAGCTTAGTAGAGTCTGAGGTATCGGTACAGAGACATTTGTATTTACCCCCTAGAGGCTACAGAATTAGGAAAAGTTTCACTTTCATTCTGCTCGATCGTGCAATTTTGTTCTCTCAATGCTAAATTGAAACCTCTACTCGTGTCCTTTCGCGAATGGCGAGGTCACGTACTGCTTCTTCAACCGAACAACAACACAGACTGATGTTAGATCAGCTACATCTTCGGAGGCTTTGCAGAGGTTGGATAGGTTTTACCAAGCTTTGCGCTACCACTTTCAGCGGTGCAGTTTTTGAGGATCTCTAGGATTATCTAGATAGTTGTCATGAGGTTCTTAGGAACATGGGGATAGTGGAGACCAATTGGGTTGATTTTGCTACTTTTCACTTATATGGGTCCGCCAAGACTTGGTGGAGAGATTTTTGCTTGGCTAGACTAGCTGGATCACCAGCTTTGACTTGGGAGCAGTTTATTCATCTATTTATGTAGAAGATTCTCCCTATCACTCAGAGAGAGGCCTATTAGAGGCAGTTTGAGCATCTCCAATAGGGTTCTATGACCGTTACTCAGTATGATACCAGATTCATCGACTTGGCTCATCATGCTCTTAACATACTCCCCAACAAGAGAGAGAGAGAGAAAGAGAGGGTGAGGAGGTTCATTGAGGGACTCATTCAGCCTATTCGACTTCAGATGGCTAAGGAGATAGGGAGTGAGATTTCTTTCCAGGAGGCGGCTAATGTGTCAGGAGAGTTCAGATGGTTCTATCGCAGGGAGGTGGTCAGGGGTCTGATAAGAGGCCTCGTCATTCAGGCCGATTCAGTGGTACCTCGTCTGGAGGCAGGGATTCATATGGTAGAGGCCATCCCCCTAAGCCTTTTCAGTTAGCACTTCAGGTTTCTCACGGTGTTTCAGGTGACCGTGGTTCTCATATGCAGTATTCTGATCAACAGTGCTACAGTGCACCATCAACTCATATCAGTGCACCGCCGCTTCAGAGTTTTCAGGGTCGTCAGCCCCAATAGCCGAGGGCTTGTTTTACTTGTGGCGACACAAGGCACATTGCTAGATATTTCCCTCGAGCACCGAGCAGTTCTCAATAACAGGGTTCCACCGCCTACTCCGCCAGCTAGGGGTGGGGGTAGAGGTGCTAGAGGTGGAGGTAGAGGTATTAGAGGTGGAGGTCAAGCAGCTAGAGGTGGAGGCCAGCCAGTAGCAGGCTGTCCTAGAGATGTAGTTCAGGGTGGTGGGGCCTAGCCCCAATGTTATGCCCTTCCAGCCAGGCCCGAGGCTGAGGCTTCTGATGCAGTTATCACAGGTACTGAGATGCTTCAGTTTTATTTGATCCAGGATCTACATACTCCTATGTGTCGTCTTATTTTGCACTGTATCTGGTCATGCCTAGTGATTCTTTGAGTGCTCTTGTTTATGTGTCTACACTGGTGGGTGATTCTATTGTGGTAGATCGAGTCCATCATTCATGTATTGTTGTGATTGGGGGTCTTGAGACTCGTGTAGATTTGCTTCTTCTGGACATGGTTGATTTCGATGTCATATTGGGGATGGACTAGTTATCACCTTATCACGCTATCTTGGATTGTCATGCCAAGACTGTGACCTTAGCCTTGTTGGGTTTACCTCGTTTAGAGTGTAGAGGGACTCCTGGTCATTCTACCCGCAGTGTTATCTCTTATATGAAGGCCCGTCGTATGGTCGAGAAAGGGTGTTTGGACGTTTTGGCCTATGTCCGTGATTCTAGTGCTGAGGTTCCTTCTATTGATTCTATGCCCGTTGTTCGTGAGTTTCTTGAGGTATTCCTATCAGACCTATCGGGTATGCCACCCGACAGGGATATCGACTTTTTGCATTGATTTGGCTTCGGGCACTCAGCCCATTTCTATCCTGCTGTATCATATGGCCCCGCCTGAATTGAACGAGTTAAAGGAGCAGATGCAAGACTTGTTTGAGAAAGGTTTCATTAGACCGAGTGTTTCGCCTTGGGGTGCGCTGGTGTTGTTTGTTAAGAAGAAGGACAGATCGATGAGGATATGTATTGATTACTGGCAGTTGAACAAGGTTACAATTAAGAATAAGTATCCATTGTCGAGGATTGATGATTTATTTGATCAGCTTCAGGGTGCCAAGGTATTTTTGAAGATTGACTAGAGATCTGGCTACCATCAGTTGAGGATTAGGGCATCCGATGTCCCTAAGATAGCTTTCCGCACTCGGTACGGGCATTATGAGTTCTTGGTGATATCATTCGGGTTGACAAATGCCCCAACAACTTTTATATATTTGATGAACCCAGTGTTCAAGCCTTACTTGGATTCGTTCGTGATAGTCTTCATTGATGATATTTTGATCTATTCCTGTAGCCGGGAGGAGTACGAGAAGCATATTAGAGTGGTTCCTCAGACTTTGAGGGATAGTCAGTTGTATGTTAAGTTTTCGAAGTGTGAGTTCTGGCTGAGTTCAGTTGCATTCCTGGGTCATGTTGTATCAGTAGAGGGTATTCAGGTTGATCCAAAGAAGATTGAGGCAGTCAAGAATTGGCCTAGACCAGCATCAGCTATAGAGATCCGGAGTTTCTTGGGTTTGGCTAACTATTATCATCGGTTTGTGGATGGGTTTTCATCTATCACAGCCCCGATGACTAGGTTGACCTAGAAGGGTGCCTAGTTCAGATGGTCGGACGAGTGTGAGGCGAGCTTTCAGAAGCTCAAGACAGCTCTGACTACGTCACCGGTGTTGGTTTTGCCCACAGGTTCAGGGCCTTACACAATTTATTATGATGCATCTCATATTCAACATGGTACGGTGTTGATGCAGGATGGCAAGGTCATTGCCTATGCGTCGCGGTAGTTGAAGATTCATGAGAAGAACTATCTGGTTCATGATTTGGAGTTAGCAGCTATTGTTCACGCTTTGAAGATTTGGAGGTATTATCTGTATGGCGTGGCATGTGAGGTGTTCATGGATCACAAGAGTCTACAGTATTTGTTCAAGCAGAAGGAGCTAAATTTGAGGCAGAAAAGGTCGTTGGAGCTATAAAAAGACTATGATATCACCATCTTATATCATCCAGGAAAGGCCAATGTGGTGGCCGATACTTTGGGTAGGAACTCAGCTAGTATAAGCAGTCTTGCTTATATTCTAGTCGGTGAGAGACCGCTTGCTTTGGATGTTCAGGCTTTGGCCAATCAGTTAGTGAGGTTGGATGTTTCTGAGCCCAGTTGTGATTTAGCTTGCACAGTCGCTCGTTCTTCTTTATTGGAGCGTATCCGAGATCAGCAGTATGATGATCCTCATTTATGTGTCCTTAGAGATACGGTGCAACATGGAGGTGCCAAGTAGGTTACA